CATTCCCATCACAAAGGCAGTAAAATTATGCTCTCTTAAAAAATACCTTGTTTTGGATGTCCCAGAATGTTTTGAAAAAAAAATCTAATATTAAAATTGCTATACTAATTTAAACATAAATGTAATTTTTTTTTTTAATTAATGTGTCAAAATGTAATTGATTAATGACTATTTTATCCAGTATTTCTGTATTTTTCATGCTTATTTGAATTTCACACTCTTAACGTAGCAACGTGCTGATGCCAAACTGGAACTCCTTTGTGAGTTTCACCTCTCATGTGCTTCACACGAGGAATTCTATTTGTGTGGCACGTGGAGTGTTCCAAATGAGTCACTTATGAGGTTCTATTTCAGTTAGGATGCTGCCTTAGGGACTGTTCACACAGGATGCATTCTTGCCTTCATCTGTGATGTGTTTAATTGTTTTTCTTCGTCAACATGCAATACCTTGATAAACTTCAGAAGAACATACGAATGTATCCTGTGTAAGGCACTACTCAAGTAGACAGTATACAGCCAGGCAGGTCTATGGGTTGGAACCGAGCTGCCATACTACACCTTTTGCCATAAATAAGAAGCAGTGATGCATTCTGTTAATTATGTGTCATTAACATTTCCATTTCATATTATTTTGCCTTTTTTATTTCAAAGCATGTGATCAAATGAGATCCATATTACTACCTGTGTGGGTGTTTATAATGAACTTGGTTTTATGTGTGTGTTTATTAACAGAAAGACTAGATGAGATTTTGGCCTCTCAGGAGACAGTACTGAGGCCAAAGGTGGAAGCAGACTACAGAGCCGCAACGGTGAAGCAACGTCCTACTAGTCGCAGAGTTACACCAGCAGAAATCAGTGTAAGATACAGTATGTCCGCACACACTCAGACGATCAGAAAGTGTCCCATTTTAGCAGCATTGACCAAAGACGCTATATGTACACAGTTGACTTCAAACGTAAAAAATGTTTCTTTGTTTTACATTTATCAAACTGAAAAACTGGCTTGATGCAGGTTTGATGGTGGTCTAATGTACCAGCATAGTTTTCCAAAGCACAGCTGTATGCTGGTGTTTTCAGCAGGGATGAAGCTTCTTACAATAACAGTAGCCAATAGAAACACTTTGTTGAAAATATGCCAAAATATTCTTGCTTGACCCTTTTAAACATAAGTGTTTTCTTTGTGCAGTCTCTTTTTGAGCGGCAAGGACTTGCTCTTCATGGTGCTCTACACCCAGCGTTGGAAAAAGCCCACATGCAGCTGCCGAAAAGCATGGCTAGAACAAAGTCTTTTGGTAATTCTTCAGGAATCTTTTACATACACTCCTCATTTAAGCCCCTCAATTTGAAACAGCAGTAAAGTGCTTGGCTTTGTTCTAGTTTCTTTTATCTATCTGTCCTTTGATCTTCAAATCTGAATGCATTTAACCTTTTAGGCGCCAGGAATTTTTGGAAAAATGGATTTTGACATCAAGATTTCAAAAGCTTGTGGCTTGAAAGGGCTTAAAGATAGAGATCTACTGTAAATTAGAAAAATGTTGGGCATGACTGAAAGTTTATGTGGGGTGTAAATATACTCGTCTAATTTGCATATGATGACGTCATTAGGGGGCGGCCAGCTTGAATTTCACAATATTCAGGAAAATAGTAGATATTTAATTGATGTTTGAACTTATTTGTTAAGTTTTTTTGTTTGTTTGTTTGTTTTTTTGGCTTTTTATCCTCATTCCAAATGATCAGAAAAGAGGAAACCAACAATAAAACAGGAGAAAGTACAAAATTATTACTATACTATATAGTAGTAAAACGCATGTGAACAGTAGCCTACTTTTTGATCAGTTCATCAGTAATATTCAGGAAATAATAGATATTGAATGGATATTTGAACTTATTTGCATGTTTTTTTTGTCTTTTTATCCTCATTCCAAATGATCAGGAAAAGAGGAACCAACAATAAAACAGGAGAAAGTACAAAATTATTACTATACTATATAGTAGTAAAACGCATGTGAACAGTAGCCTACTTTTTGATCAGTTCATCAGTAATAT